GTTCCAGCTAAGTGTCTTAGAATATTTATTGCTCTCATAGCCTTTGCACTTATATAATTTATGTGTTTATCAAATTTTAGTTGGTTGTCTATAATGATACCTAAAAATTTATGTTCATTAACAACAGGAATTTCTATATTATCATATGAAATTTTTATATTATTTCTATTTCTACTAAAGACTAAAACAGAACTTTTTTCTGGACTAATATCTAGCTTAAGTTTATTGTTATAATAAGAATGTAACTGTTTTAAGGCAGTATTGACATTTTGTTGGGCTACATCCAAATCTTGATTAATGCTATACAAGAGTAGATCATCAGCAAACTGTAGTATATTTACATTTTCAGTATTAACAAATTTGAGTATTTCTGAAGTATACAAATTATACAATAAAGGAGACAGTGTTGCTCCTTGCATTGTTCCTTTATTAGCAACTTTAGGACCATGTAATTTATTATTGTATTTTACATAGACTGTTCTGTTATTTAAGAAGGTGTGAAGCCATTGTAATATTTTTTTTGGCATACCTATATCACATAAAACTTGAACAAGTTCCTCAATGTTGACATTATCAAAAGCACCTTTAATGTCCAAAAAAACACAGATCATGTTAGAATGGCTTAGTTTAACATTTTTAATATCCTGTATAAATGATACAAAACTCTCAGAGCAACTTCTACCTTTTCTAAACCCATGCTGAATAGGAGGAATCAAATTATTGGTTTCTGAGAAATAATCTAGACGTAACTTGAGCATGTTTTCAAATAATTTTCCTAAACAGGATGATAACGATATTGGTCTGTAAGAAGAGGGAATACTGTGTGGTTTATTTGGCTTTAAAACTGGAATGACACATTGAGTTTTCCAAGATTCCGGTACTATACAGTATTGCCACAATTTATTATATATATACAATAAAATCTGTTGTGCATTATTATGTAAATGTTTAACTAATATATATGGTATATTATCAAGTCCTGGTGTTGTGTCTTTCCTGCTTTGTAGTGACTTAGTAAACTCATTAAAAGAAAATGGTTTATTTAGAAAGGAATTTAAAGAATTTTCTTCAGCAATATGGAATAAGCTAAAAATTCTGTTTTCATTGATTTCAGTGGAATCAGACAAATTGTTAATAAAACTTAGAATCCATCCATCTTCAAAATGTTTATTATCAGGACTACCAATTCTTTTAAACTTTTTAATATACTGCCATATCCTAGAAATAGGTGTTAGTCTGTTAAAACTATTGCATAGTTTTTTCCAAGATTCCCTACTTTCTTCTTTTATTACTCGTTTTTTGAGGGCATCTACCTTTTTGTATTCAATAAAGTTATCAATAGATGGATTCATTTTGTAATTCCTTAATGCCTGCCTTGATTTACATATTGCATCATCACATTTTTTATTCCACCAAGGGACTGGTTTTTTATGTAATTGAAGCTGACCATTTCCCTTTTTCCTAGGTATAGTTAGTTCTCTTAAGTCATTTAAAATATTTACAAATTTGTTATACATATCTAGTGGATTTTCATATTCAATATCTATTTCAGAGAAACATGTCTCTGACTGTGAGTAATATCTAACCCAATCAGCTTTACTATAGAGATATTTTTCTTCAACAGGACCAAATTCAAACAGCGATGGTTGGATGTTTAAATGAAGGGAAATTGGATAGTGATAGCTACCCATGGGATCATCCTGGACGTGCCAATTACATAAGTGGGCTATGGAGGGGCTGACAAGTGACAAATCTATGGCAGAAGCATTTCTATTAGGATAAGGACATGTAGTTGGAGTACCATCATTTAAAATACATAATTCAGATTCATCTATTATGTTGAACAAACTATTGCCTCTATTATTGTTACTGTGGCAACCAAAGGCTATATGATGTGCATTAAAATCACCCATGATAATGCAAGGTTTAGGCAATCTATTTACAATGTTTTTTAATTTATTACCTTCAAATCTATTACTATTAGGTGGACAATATACACAGAGAATAGAAATATCACCTGATTGTGTTTTAAGGCTAATGGCTATATTCTGAATACTTTCATGAAACTTTGTATTTAAAATATCATATTTCAAACCATGTTTAACTAGAATACCTACACCATTATGTGTATTTATAGAGTTTTTGTAAATAAAATTATAATTTGAAAAGTTCGGAATATTGGAAGAATTTGTAAGCCAGGTTTCATTTAAGAGACAAATATCAATATCTTTTTCAATTAGTAACTTTTGTAATAAAGGTTTTTTGCTCTGTAAACTTTGTATATTATACTGACATATATGTATATAACTATCCATTAAATTAAGTAACCCAAAAATGTATCCTTTATTTTCTTTGAAGTCAAAGGTGCTTTGTCACGGTCATTGCCTAGAGCTACAAGAGACTTTACAATGGCATTGATAATGATTTCATTATTAGCTATAAAATTAATATCAAAATGGTCTTTATTATTGTTAATATTTGTAAGTGGTGGGTATGTTTGGTCATTTTTGGGTGGGGGAGAACTCACCACAGTGGCATAGTTTTGCTGATTGTACTTCTTCCTTAATTCTTCAATTTTTTGTTTTTTTATGGGGCAGTCTCTTGAAATGGCCAAGTGGTTACCACTGCAGTTAATGCAAACAATTTCTTCGACGTCACACTCCTTGTAAGAATGTTGACCAGCACACGATGAACACATTTGGATGTTTCTACACACTTTAGCAGAGTGATTAAATTTCAAACATTTGAAACATTGTAAGACCGGAGGTACGTACTGGTGTACTTGGTATCTGAATAATTGTATATACGCATACTGAGGCAAGGATGTTGTTGCGAATGTAACGGCAATTGTGGTCAGAGGTGTGAGGGTATCGTTGGATTTTTTCATAAATCGTTTGATAGAGATCACTTCTGCGTCACATACGATGTTTTTATATATCTCCTCGTTCGACATATCTTTAGGGACAAACTTAAGTACGCCGATTTTTTCCGTGAGATAAGATGGTACGAACGCCTTCATTTTATGTTTGTATAAAAAGTCTTCCATTTTTAGGAAATAATTTGCCGAGGAAGCTTTTTTAAAAGAAACTCCAATTTTGTGTGCGTTTACTCTGTGTACGCCAGTTATACCTTTAACATGTTCAGTAAATAATTTCGTCAATGTAATAGGATTTTTATTTCCTATTTTTTCTTGTTCCGTGGACTCAACGTACACGGTGAATTCTCCTGTGTTATTTTCAGAAAAAAGCCTTTTGTAGTTCGGTTTGGTGTAAATTTTATATTTATCATTTTGTTTCTTACTTGTGTCATTGGATATAACTCCATACTTTCTCTTCTTTTTTTCTGCTGCTAGGTCCTCCCCATCGCTGTGGGAACCCATCCTCGACGACAAACAACAATATTACGATGTTTTTAGTCAACAAAAACCAATAAAAAATTAATTTACTATAACAGGAAATTTTAAAGACAGTAAAATACAACTGATGTGGCTCGCTTTATTTTTGACATTTAAGGACATCAAACAGACATACATTAAGCTTTACTTAATTAAATAAATGTAATATGTCACCAAATGTACAGCTCACACTAATACTCTCGAAATAATACGTATTTTAGCAAATAACGAGTGTTTAATTAAATATTAAAAGCAATAATTGAGTAATCGTTCATTCCATAACGTATTATGGCGATTTCTGTGTGAGAACATCAATTGCCATTTTCTTAAATATCTGAGAGGAGTATCTAATATATTTATATCTAGGAGGTGTGTATTGTGCGTGTCCACAAGTCCTTTACCTCTATAGAAGGCTATATTTCGAAGCGCGGCCAATGTCGACCAAGCAGATTGATAGTATTGAAGTATCACTATCGGGTTATCCACCAATAGCGACACGCCAGATACTCGCTGAGTGTGAGTGAGAGGGACACTGGATGCTTTGTATTTTACACCTTATGTCACTTGAAACAAGATTGCACTCGATAATAACACGTTTTTTATTGTTTTATCTATTACCCTGAAATTCAAAATTGTCAGATTTTTAGTGTTGTTTCTTTATCTCACATCAGTGGCGTGCTATCTCACATCCCCATCAAATGGCGATATCGTATTGTGAGATGCGGCTCAATCTATAAAAATAATCACTGTTTTAATGGGCACGTCGATTCAAACTTTCATCTGGATATGGCTTCCTTAAATCAAGACAACCATAGCCCCTAAAATTATTCATTATCAATGAATAATATAATAATCTAAGATATATATTATATATTAACATTTAGGGGTTTAGGTACAAAAAGAAAATTATTTCCCAAAATACATTTATTTGATTAATAAAAGTGGTATCATTGAATTATTTAGCCTAGCTCTTTGACTAGTCACAATGAACATAGTCTAACATATGTAACCTGATTTTGTCTATCAACATCAGTTCTGTGAGAAAAAAAAAATACATTGCACTCAAACTTACATACTGATTGTTGTTAATTCTTTTCATGTGCGTGACGATTAATAGTGAAATGTAAAAAAAAGGTGCGACAACCTTTTTTTTTGAAAGATGATTATATAAACAACAATCAGAATAATTTTAATTTCTGGAGCATAACTACAGGGCGGCAAGACTAGCCTTTATGAGTAATATCTTAGTCAGGACAACAAAAATAAATGTATAATCTTTCTTTTTTCTGAATAGGTAGGTAGGTATATGGTATAAAATAATTAAGCTACATCTATGGCGCTGACAGACTCATTAGTAATACTTTTAACAGTTCCTTTATATCTACAGACTTGTTTGCGCCAAAAAGTGTGTACAACAACGTTGTACGTGTTTATTTTTTATATCTATAGTAACGCGAATGCAGAACGCACAGAAGCGAAGACGCCCATAGACATGCACAAGCGCCCAAAGACACCCATATACACGCACAAGTGCCAAAAGATACTCATAGACACGCATATGCGGATTAAAATTTGTCTAAACGTCAACAGACAGTACACATAAAGTTTGAATAGTAAAACGGTGTCTGTATAGCGGTGTACGGATGGTGCTCTTAACGTCTGTAATATAAACGAACTATAAAAACATAATGTAGAATTGTAACAATGTGCAGACTACAGAATCTACCCTTGTTAATAAATAGGTAAGGATTGAATACTTATTGGTAACTTTAATGAACACATCGGTTTAAGTTAAGAAAAAACTTAATACATTGGCGTAATTAAAAATTATCTATCCGTTTCACAGTACAATAAAATAGAAAATAATAAAAAAGTTAGTGTAAAAAATAAACAAAGTATTTGTTTAGTTGGTATTTGTGACAGTTCGCTATTTTTTATTCGATCTTTTTAAAGTGGTGTAGTTGTATTACGTTATTGTCTTGTGAACTCTCAACTTAAAATGACCGCCTTTTAAAAATACACTTAAAAATCTACGGTCCAAGCTGTTGAAGATGGGATTTTTAAGTATTTTAAATGCAAAGTAATAAAAACAAACACATCAGTGAAATAAAATACAACAACAAACCATGTATTGAATTTCTATGACAAAAGCACGCTCAAGTTACCCGAATCCCTAAGTTCTGCTAACGATTTTAATCTTCAAAGGATTACATTGTTCAAAATTTGAGAATTCGAGGTAACCTGATATGCTGTTATGTCACTGTAAAATTCTAGTCATCGTCAGTTTATAATCTATATCGTAAGTTATTCATCTAGGTTTAGGTTATAATAGAACCTTTAATTATTCACCTGAATATATAATATTATATTACAATGTATAATATTAATTTTATAATAACGACAACCCGGAAATATATTGGCGCGAAACTGGCCAAATGTCAAAGTTATTTTAGTTGGTGACAGCTAAGGATCCCGTAAAGCAATAGGGATGTAGACGACTTTTTTAAATATTTCAAAATTTCACAAACGCAAACTGCTTTTATGGCGTTGCTATGACGTAACGCCCTTCAAAAACTATTATCCGTATATGTGTGCTTAGATTTTAATTCTCTTAGTACTGCAGGGCGATTCTGTAAGAATCCGAACCCGAATTCGAATTCACACACGTTTCCGAATACTAGTCGACATTTTTCCTTCTAACAGTTAGGTTAGATTCCCCGACGAATAAAATGTTAAGTAAGATTATAATTATAAAAAAATAAACGTACGACGCATACAACTTTACAGTGATATATATATATATATATTACAAAATATTGTCACCATGACATTCACCCTTATTGCGAAATATAATGTTATAATGAGTTCATTTGTTATCTTATATCCGCGCGGCGGGGTACGAAGCAGTCCCGATAGTGGGATGGTGACCACTGTTGTTAATCTTTGCTGCACAGTGGGCAAGCGAGTGTGCCCATCGGGTCCCAAGCTGGTAACACTTTCGCCTCTTGTTTGAACACGTTCAACACTTCTTCCGAAATGTACTTCTTGTCAACGACGACCTGTAAGTAAATAAAGTTATTATTATTTTATAAATTTATGTTAGTTAAAACTACCCTCCAATACCCTCCAATCAGCATTGGGCCAGCGCGGAGGGTCATGACCCATCCTCCTTAACCATCCATTAGGAAGGCTTGAGCCCCTGTAGTGGGGACGTAAAGGGCTGATGATGATGATGTTAGTTAAAATAAAATATCTTAGACTATCTTACCTCAAACACGAATTCTCTGAACCAAGGCTCTGTGAGCAGTAAGTATCCTCTGTTATATTCCTTGTCTCCATATGAGTTTTCCACCCGAAACTTGACTGGTTTAGATTGTTGCTAAAAATAATAATTGTTAATTAATATATTCTTATTACATTTTCCGTGAGGTGCAATAGGGATGACGACAGGGTAAAAAAAAAGAACTTATATTTAGTCCGTCAGTCAGATAATAAAAAAATATTAGATACGTATTTTTTTTTCCTTCAATTTAACAAGAAATAGCTTAGATATCTGGTATTAAAGGTGAGGGGCTGGGGCTCGCTACGTCATAGTTTTTGTAGAAAATACATAAAAGCGTGACGTCATGTGACATTTTAACTCAATTTATCACCGTTATTTAATGATTGAGCAAAAATAAAAAAATACCTATTTAATATTTTTCAACAATATATCCGACGGACAAACGAAAATCGTCATCCTTATTAAATACATATTGAAAATTTCATATCATTGATAACTTTGATGGAAATCAAATTTGTTACAACATTACAATTATATTCCCATATGTGTAATTTAAGACATTTTGAAACAACGGTAATATAAAAAAAATATAATCGCACAAAAATGAAAAGAGAATTCGGACATATTTATCGAGAACCACAAATAATCAATCACAAATAATCTATAGGATGGCAAGACTACAAAATGCCACTGGCCCCCAGCTGGAAGGGGCGCCCGATCAGAGGAGACTCCTTACCCCTGACTTTTATTATTACGCAATAAGTAAAAAAAAAAAATGAATATACGATGACTTTGTCACGGGCCTCAAACGGCATAGATACGCCACTGCTTCTAAACTGTGGCGTAACTTAATGGTGGCAGGGCTGGCCAAATGCCATGGGCCTCTGACCCAAGAGGGCTCTGGTCCAAGAGGCCATTAGCTCATAAATAATTTTTTAACCTTGCTCCTGAGTATTTTAATTTTACTCGAAAAGTATTTTTTAAGTTCGGCTTTAATTTTATTTTCTGTGTGATTGTTTTAACAGTCATTTGTATCATTGATATTCGTATCTATTTGTTGTTTTAATGAATCTGTAAATTGTGGGAAAGTAAAGTTGATTGTGAAAGTTAGATATATATAAGTGGGAGCGAAAAATGAAAGAGAAATAGGGAGACTGAAAAAAATAAAAAGCTACCTAAAATTAGTCTCAATAAAAGTATACTAAAATTACCAGCTGCAGAACGTCTATCCAGATCCAGAACAACCACAAAGGTACTAGGTCCCTTTCATAATTTTAATAGTTTTGAAAGAGGATTAAAATTATTATTCTGTGTGTTGTGTGATTATTATTTTCAGTTAACATTTAACCTAACAGAATGCCTGTTCTTAACCTATAATATTGATGCAGAAAAATACAATTATTTTTTTAACCACCTCACTAGTAAAATAAATGTGGCTACATTATTTCAGAAAATGACCTTAGGAAATGTCATTTTTCTGCATTAATTTAAAAGTCAAACTATAGTGTACGATCGTCGCTGTCATTATATAGACCAATAGTATAGCTACTATCGGGCCCGGCAGGCATAGCTAGTTTATACGTATAATTTGATAACATGTTAACTAAATTATTAATTTTAATTTAAGTGACTTACGGCCGGTTTCTTTATTGAGAAAAACTTTTTATACTTTTCACAAGGCAAAAAGTGCTAGTTTTGATCATTTAAAAAAAAATGAAATCAGAAAAGGAAACTTATCCAAGTACAGTTTGAGGCGTGCTTTAAATACTCGATTCAGAAGCAGGGCGTTAATTTCATAATAGCTGGTTTACACGTATTAAGTTGATAATCAGTTAATTTAAAGTAGTTCTGTACGTGTAAACACACAATCAATTCAAATTAAGTCAACAATTCACTTAAGTACTTAATACGTGTCAAGTAGCCGTAAATTAATAAAGATTTTCAATAATCTCACATCAGTTCCGACTGCCGTGAAGACCATAGCGTGAGTCATGCACGAGTCACCGTATCGAAGTCGATCAGCTTTAGGCAGACCGACTTGCACGTCCGTGTTGAATAGCAACCGGTAGTCGTGACTGTACATACAACAACATAAAGTAATGTCAACGAAACATGATAAAGCAATGTTTGAAGTTTCGTACACCATCTTATATTTGAATTTATAGATACGACTGCGTATCAGCCGACTACAATATGTCAAATTTCAGCCTGGAATCAGTAGATATCTGTACAATGTAGTGTTTACTATACTAGTGTCGGTTGCTATAATTTTGTTTTGTTTCTCTTTCGTCGTTGTTTTGTTTCATAAATCTTATGTTAAACTAGTCTTTAACAGATAGAATGTTAAGCCAAGTAAAAATACTTTTTTTGTCAATGGCATTTAGTAACATCATCGCCGACTAACTCAAAGGCAATATATAATACCATTACGCTTCACTTAATTTCAATTCATATTAGGTTATAAAAATATTTAATCTACTATTTGGATTTACGATAATACTGTTTAGTTTTGAATTTAATTCAGGTTGGTGATTACTTCAAATTTTACTGGTTCTATTTTTTAGGAAAGTTTAATTCTAACAGATATGCACATATATTTATATATACAGTAGAGAATGAATATATTCCTTACTGATGGGGATAAAAGTAAGGGCGATACTTACGCATCCAAATCAGTCAGTCCGTTCTTCCTCTCAAATCTCTTGGAGACTTCACAACCAAACCAAACCGCTTCACCACCCTCTATACTATCCCTCACTGCCCTGTGAAACGAATAACGAACGATTTTAGAAATTCTGTAAACATTATACGCGAGTGACGTAGGTTATAAAATACGCGAGCGAAGTCGCGGTAAACAGGGAATAGCAATCAGTCTGTAGTAGGTAAAATATTTTAGTTCAATACAAAAGTATCTTAAATAAGTTAAATAGGATATTAGACACTATTTAAAAAAATGGCGTATTACGTTCATCCTGTTAGATAATAATCTAATAAGGTTCATTTCTTAGAATCTGCAGACAATATATATATTAGCTCTAGTAAAGTAACGTAATGAAAACGCAACATTTTTAAGAAAAATAAAATGAATTTTAATAATTGCTCGATACAAATAAAAATAAGGTTTTTCGGATCGATTTTAAGACTATTTTACCTATAAAAAATAGGTTTTGATATAATCTAAAATGATCAAAAGATTATTTGATTAGTGCATTTGTTTTTTTTTTAAACGCATTCAAAAAAGGAGAAATTACTCAATTTGACTGTTTGTAATTTTTTTTCTGTTTTTGTTACACGATTACTCTGCCAATTATGAATCGATTTTCAAAACGCTTTTTTATTTGACAGCTTGAAGGCCCATTTAAATTTCAAAATCAAATCAGTAGTTTTCTTTTTATAACAATACAAAATATGTTTTTCATTTCTTATCGTGATTTCTACTTAAATATTTATAAAAGCGAAAAAACAAAATATTTCTATGTTCAAAACGAATTTAATGAATAATATTTAATAACTTTTTGTACACAGATTATACTTTAAAATGTATGATATCAAACAAACGCGACTTTACTCTCGATGTGAGAATTTGTTTGTATATTTGTACGGGAACGTAAGCGAAGGCAAGAGGGCCTCAATAGTTTTGATTAATAATTTAATAGCGAAAAATAATATAGACTCACTTGATAAGCACGTCTATGGGCTGGTTATTATACGCGGTCTGTCTGCCTCCCACCACGTTGCCGAGACACTGGAGCGTGTATAGTTGCCCGAACGGGTTCGACTCCCGTGGATCACTTACCAAGCATACCTATAGAAAAAAAAGAAATTCAGTAGTCCCTATCATTTTCAGGGGCTCCTTGCCGGATCCCGGACCCTAATCCAAAAGCCAGTTGAATTTTTTATAGATGATGTAGTTCTGTTGTCGCTGTAATAAAAAATACTAAAACAGATAATAAAATACATATTTACGAGGAACCCGTATCCGTTGACCGATTTTTTAAAAATAATTTTGAAATGAATGGACTTATTCAATCCAACATGATTTCGGTGTTGAATATTTTGAATTTCGCTAAATCATTTTTGCGGGATAGATCGTAAACATAAACAAATATTACTGAAACAATGAAATGGCTTATTTTAACAATCTCCAATACACACTTATATATATAATCTTTTATATTTTTGAAATACTCATTTCTTTATTTACAAAAAGAAGAGTATTTTGACCACCCCTATCTATGAACCTAAACTTTTGAAAAAGTAAAGAAAAATACATAAAGATTACAATAAAACCTAGAAGCCTATGGATTTAAAAATGCAATATTTTGTCGATAAGGCAAAGCGCTCTAGTTCATACAGCCTATGAGCCTAGTGCTTGACTTTGCTTAAAACTCACCTTATCGTCAACATTGAAGAGTGGTTTAACAAAATTGGTATAGAACTCTTGCGGGCTGGTCTCACCGAAGCTGCAATATGACTTCTCCTTATTGTAATATTCGAAATTGAACTTGTCTGGAGGCGTACCTGTAAAAAATTATATCGGAACAGTTATATTAGGTACATCTCATTACGCGGACGTCATCAGGATTATTTTCACGGAGGTGCATCTGTGTCTACACATACAATTAGCCAACATGAAAATTAGAACTATACATTTGGATTAGAGGAGGTTAAATACAATAGCACGCGAATTTTAATGGACGCGTTAATGATTTATTCTACAAGAATAAATGTTAAATATGATGACAGTTTAGTTAGTTGATATTTTAAATTGTTTAGATTAAATTGCGATTATATGAGTAAAATAAAAAATTAAGTTAAGAAAAAATATATATATGACATTATTTATTATGATAAGTACGTGATAATAATAAAGATGATAATGTAAAATGGCATTACGTGTAGATAACAAATGCACATAGTTGTTTACTTTTACTTTTCCATTAAATGTTTACTTTCATTTCACATATATTAGAATAAAATAATAAATTATTGCTTGTAATTAAAATATTTGCGTGTTGAATCTATCGTCCTCGATTATTTCGCGTTTGGCTGAACCGATTTAGACGCAGTTAACAGAAGATTATTTACAGTGTTACCTATTATATAAAAAAATTGAATTTCATTTTCCATTAAAATTATACGGAGCTCCGTTGATTGGTCAAAAAGAATGGGTTCGGAATGTTGAACCTTCTATTCTGCTTTTGAATTTATGATATGTTTTATTTGTGTATAGATTTTTAAACTATTTCAATGGAGCAGTTATTCAGTAGTACTTAATAACATTCCAGACTACTAGGCTTGCATTTTCTTTTTAGTAAAACCAATTATATATTTTTTCAACTTCTTCCTTTTGTTTTCACGCAGTCGGGTTTTTTGTTTTGTTATAATTAAATTTTTATTTTACACTTTTTAGTTAGTTCTCACTGACTTCGTTATTAGAACTACAAGACGGTAAATTTTGCAACCTTGTCATTTCATTGAGGGAGTTTATATCGTGAGGATTATCAAGCAACTTCCGGTGGTCTAAACTACTGATTATTAGTCCCTCTAGAGACCTCACTCGGCTCAAAGATACATATGCTTGACCTTTACAAAAAGTTCGCAAACTTAAGTCAACCATAGCTCGGTCCAAAGTAGTTCTTGGCACTTAAAAGTTTAATAATTTGCGAACAGCTCCCTATATCTAAAGACTATATTTGCACGCTTCTAATATTTTTAAAAGACCTAATATAGGGAAATCGAAAAATAAAAAATCACCCCTACTTTACACGAAGGGAAGGTACCCTAGAAAAAAAATTGATTACTGTTATATGTTGAGTGACATTCGCAAGGTTAAGACAAATCGATTGACGTATAAGTAAATCAAAATTGGCCAAGCCGTTTGGTCTCTACAATGTCATATAGGAACAAACATACATATATACATAGACTCATAAACACATTACCCTCCTTTGCGTTGGTCAGTCGGGTAAAAAAAAAACGATCGCTAAAAGTATGAAATAAAAAGTTTTATATGAAAAAAGCACCGCCTTCAGTTTTAAAAAAGTGATAAATAATACTTATCTCAAAAGCGACTTGTTCAAGAAAATGCTATTGAAATACGTATAAATATATTTACAAACACTATTTAATAAATAAAATAATCTTTGAAATGTTTGTTTGAGTATATATACAAATACTTCATAAATAAATATAGTTTAGATTTGATATCATAAATAAGAATGAACAAACGATTTTATGTTTGTCTGAACTGTGAAGTTAGTGAAATATAGTTACGTTAATATACGTAAGAGAAATGAAACGTTACAAACGTAAAAGATAAATATAATAATTAAAGAATATATATGTAAAACTAGAATACTAGCGACATCACTTTTAACAGTTAATATTAATGGCACGTCACTTTTCAGTCTAAATATAACGTATTACAGACTTACCTAAACATGTGGCAACTATTTTATATATAATAGCTAACTGATTGTCAACAGTGTTTTGTAACTCTTCGTCGCTTGCGTTAGATTCCACTTTTTCCCTTAATTCTTTGGCAAATTCCCGCAACTGAAAGAAAAAAATAATTAAATATACATAGAACAGTTTCCATCTTTTTGTCTCTTTCTTCATACTAAAATCATGTACTTTAAAGTGTGACAGATGGAGAACCGTGTAACGAACCAGATAGTCACACTTTAGAGGTCCGTGTGCGAACCAATCGGCTATGAAGGTCGTCAAAACGGATGTTTTTATGGAAATTCGTTATTGCAAGTAACTGCAGCACGCTGAAGAAACCGCGGGTTAAAACTATTTTAAAATATAGGCAAATCTAATTATGTACTCCAAGTAGACGATTTAAGTCCCAATTCTCCCATCCGAATTAAGTCAATTTCACTCTATAGCTGAAAACGTAAATAGTACCTTTGTCTTTAAAACCGCATTCATATGCAGACTTCTTCTAGAGCTGAACGACTCCTTGAAGCAATCCTTGGGCACTACACCATACTTGTTGATGAGGTTCACTATCATGTCCCATTGGCCGCCATCGTTTATGGGATCCTGAAAGTAACAGAATAAGATCTCAAACAAAGATTTAAAAAACAATAATCTAAGGAGCAGATGGCGTTTATCAAATAGAGTTTTCAAAAAAACTTTTGTTTCTTGAAATTATTCATGTTGTGTTTGTTCTCTACTCTGAAAGAAAGTTAAGTAGCTAAAGAAATTGCATCATGGAAATCTGAAGTAACGAAGGCACCACAACAACCAGACCCGAGACATTATAGAAAAGCTCATTTTGTACCAAACCAGGAATCGAACCCAGGATTTCGGAGTTGTTGTTGTTGCACAGTTAAGGATTGAATAGGGCATCAATTAGGTACTCTAATCCGGCACTGGTAGCAGGATGCGCATAGTCAAGTTTCCAGCCGGAACGGAACCCGTGTTAAGAAAATGGGAGTAACATTTACTAAAATTTACGAGGAGTTTGATGGCGCTGTGGTTAGCGCGTTCGGACTGCAATACGGCTGTTAAGCAACTATCGTTAAGGGCGATCATAGGATAGGTGACCAAAAAATTATCATCTTGTGTTCCTTCCTGCTTCTCAAGACACGTTAAGCCTTTTGTCCCAGTAGCCGTTAACACTCATCAATCCGCACTGAGCCCGCGTGTTGGGTCATGGCATTCTCCCAATCCGAATTCGAGTCCCAATGGGGACATTAATAGGTGGTTACTAACGTTTGTCACGGACCACAAACGCTATAATTAGATTAATACAAAGTGAATGAAAACCTCATTTGTTTTATGAATGTGACTAACCCACATATCACTATAAAAGTGCCTTGTACTTCGTGGTTTCTTATCGTGGTTTGATAATGAAATGTGCTAATTATCTATTGTGTGTTCTCTGCAAGTGTTATCGAAAGCTAAATACATTTTCATCAAAATATTGACATTAAATTACTTAACTGTATCAATTGTAATTTTATATAATTGGTGAACAATAAAGAATTTAGTCATTTATTAATAGCATTTAAATTCGGTTCAATGCCAGTACAATGAAGTTTTACGAGTTAAATTTATTTAATTAGTTAATCATATCTCGTCAGTTAAAAATATTTGCAAGCTTTAAAACTAGATCATGGTGAATTCATACCAGTATAATTTTTTTTCTGAATCCTCATATTGATTTTAATCTGAATGTTTGAAATAATTATTATTTTAGACATGCTTACAGATCATCAGTTTCTACATTGATCCATATATAACATTTAAACTGTTGCTTTATACATATAGTATAATGTATGAAGCAACAGTTTAAATAAAATGTATTATTCAACAGTTTTGTGATACCTAATAATTAAGCAAAAACTGTGTTTATCGTCTATGTCACTCGCGTTTGTTGTAGCTTCCAGTAGGTGATAGAATTTTTAAAATCGGTCCGAACAATCAAATCTTTCTTCTTTATATTATTAGTATAGATGCATAACTTACAGCTTAAAAGCCTTGCAATTTATTTTGTTATAGAGAGATACATTAATGTACTTATATATTGGCATCCCACTTTGAATATCATTATTGCCTTATTTTATAAGACTAACGGTCAGTTGCACAAACTTTAATTAAGGTTTAATGACACATATAGAACTAATGAATGTCAATTTGTATAGGTAATATCGCTTTAAACTAATGAAAATTTTAAAGGATGTCAGTGCCATTGGCTGTAATAGTAAAACTTCTGAGTAAGATCAGATAATACATTACAAAGTTAACTTTTACCCATTAACATGAGGAACTGACCTTGAGCAAGAAGTTGACGAGCCTGCCGTCAAGCGCTTCACCCTGTTTTGCGGTAGACACGATGTTGTTCAGCCAGTAGTGCGACCGCTCTATCTTGTCCCAGAAGAATAGGTAGCTAAACATGTTAAAGGATTCAAAGACATTAATCATGAAAAATAATTCCCATCTACTATAACAAAAAAAAAAGAAAATTGCCCATTAGTAAAAACAAAGTAACTGGCTGAAAATTGAAAAATCCTCACTTTTTATTTTTTTATTAACTCTCACCGAACATACCTAATGTAGTAATAATATAATCTAAGAGTGCAGTAATAAGAATGAAATCGTAATAATAATGTAAATTTTCATTCCAAAATCATTTAACGATAATTATTACATGAGACTAGTCCAACACGTAAAAGTAATATTTGTGTTGGAGATATCTCGCTTTTATCGTTTACTGAAAAGTTAAATACAGTAATATTTTTAAAATAAAAAATCCAAACATTTTTCTTGATTTTAAGCAACTATTAGGGTGTGTGTGTTATGTGCCTGTGCATGCGTGTATGTGTGTGTGTGTGTGTGTGTTTTTATTTGTCGTTTTATCTCATGTAGGTGATTCTGAATAGGATACCTATATGTTTGAAGTTAAATTGAAGCTGTTTGCTTACCTCTGTGAGAACTCAAATTCATCAATATTATACTTTTTCATGAATGGCAACCGAATGACATTCAGGGCAGCAAACAGCCAACAACGTCCAGAGTTCTCTTGATTGGTCACTGGCTTGCCCTCTGAGTCCACCTGTGTTATAGGATAAACAATAATATTTATGTACAGGCCACATCACATATAAGTATGGTACACAGCAAGAATTTTTAATTAGTGCACTAATTTTAATATTGTATTCATTAATGTAAATAGACATATTTTGTTATTTTCTTACCTACTACCAATGTGATGAAAAAGCAATAAGATGTCTATATACAGTGTGTAAACCCAAGTACTGATTACTTACCATAAATGCTTTAAAAATCCTAAAGAAATATAAATACTTTATTTTGAGCAACTTTAGTAAATAATATAATTCAACAAGCCGGGCACCATTTGCTTGGGCCAGACATGCAATCAAAACAGGGCTTGGAAACAGGTTTATTTTTTGAACCGGTTCGACGTAAGTACATTCGGAACTTTACATAAAAGGTTCAGCTCCTTTGAACAGGTTTTTAAATCAGTTCATTAGAAATACGGTTTTCTTCATTAACCGGTTTAAATATGACTCCAGATAATGATCTCACAAACTTCAGCGCGGTTTTTAATTGCCTATACTCCTATCTATTACATCCGTACAGATATGATAAATGTCGTCGCTTAAAAATGATATAATTCGCATTAAAATCGTAACAACATTGCTTTTTATGAACCGGTTTTTATTCCATCCGAATTTCACTCCGCATTTAGTTCCGATCCGGAACGGAACATTATAAGAGAATAGGTTTTACCTAAATAAAAACGGTTTATTCTGAACCGGTTTCAAGCCCTGAATCAAAAAGCCTGTGTCCATCTTTCTCAGGATGCCTGGCAACTCTCAATTAACATTTAGAATACTGCTCCTCAATAATACATTAGCTAATTCTGTGATTACCGTAATTACGAGGATTTTCAGCAAAAAAAAAGCTATCATGTTATTTTTATATCTGATTATGTTACTCATATTACACAAATTTTTCAAGAATTTAACTTTAATTAATTTTTAAAAGACTATTACTTCATATAGTGTCTATAGTATGTGTAGTGAGTGTAACAAAAATAAAATTTAACTCATTCAGTCCTTGGTTTATAAAGTATGTATGATAAAGATTACCTTTATATTATAAACATGTAGAGCGGCATCAGTACGTTTCCTACTGATGGCTGCCTCAAATGGATCAATACGAGTGCACACATTTTGTGCTAATTCATTCTTGGGGTCTCCATAAAAATCATCCTTCAATTTGCTGATAGTTTCCAAACTAATAGGTTCTGAAATAAGATAATAAAATAATAAAAATTCATTGAATCAACTAAATTTTCAAAGAACTTATGAACAAAAGGCAATCCTTATGCTTAAACATTAATCTAACCGAGTAAATCCTAAGCATTTAAAGAGAATAAAAAAGTTTTTATAATTTCACATTATGATTATAGTGGTAATTAACCACCTAAATTATTTCTAATAAATAAAAAAAAATATTAGATTGATTTGCTAATGTACAAAATTCAGTCATATTTTATTTCTAATTTAAAAATAATATAAGTAAGTACCTCTTTTGAATTCCATTTTATGATCACCATAATTGAACATGATTTTAAATTATTATATATATATCTTTAGCAGTAGCAATTACAGAAAATACACCAAATATTGCTAGTTTCCCTTCATAATTAAAATGACAATTCAAAAATGTTCTAATCATTGTCTAATGAATGTCGAAAATTTTCATAATTAAGTATAGATAAACATATTTTTTAGATGCAAACTACATGGTTTCGGGAGAGAATATTGCCGATATTTACGAAAATTATCACTCGGGGGAGTGTATGGAGATATAAATGCTAATATTATTTGCCTTAAGATTTGTATTTCAATTAATAAATATTTAAATGTATACAATATGTAACGTAACTTAATATGCATTGATAATGTTAGTTTGCAATTTTTTGTTTTAATACAGGTATGTTTTGATAATATTCACTTACAAGAATCGAACTGAAGAGGTGACTGTGCTATTTTCAAACGTCACCATGTAAAGGTTAGTATTTTGTTGGCATTTAATATTATTCAGGTTAGAATTATTTCTTAATAATTTGGACAAAGGTAACAAAATAATAATAAATGTATGTTAATAATAAGTTCATTCACATTTTTTAAGTAATTGGAAGAAAATTGCAACTTACTTGTCGTCATCGTTGCAGCGAATTTTTGTATGAAACCAGACGTCCTACACTTAAATAAGGTTGATATAAATGACTTTGCTAGCATCTATTTCCAAATATATATACCAAAAAATTTTGTGACGTTATAGAGAGAGTGAATTATTATTTTTAGTGCACCTGTCTTTCATTCCACTGTAAAAATGACAGGTCATTTTATGAACATTCTTCTTCTTCTTTTTTAATTCATGGCCTTTATGAACATTCGGTCGTTGCTGAGGGTCATTGAACCAAAGCAGCTGACTTATACTGACATTCTACTTTTTAAGTTCTAATAACGGCAACGAGACATGTTATTTTAGTATTTATGTTTATTTTTTATGGTCTCTATTTACCATGGACTTAGTACTATAGGTATAACTATAGATAGAGTACTCCCAGCCCGAAAAACGAGCGGAGCGAGATATCAAGTACAGAGGCTATTGGTCATTTTCTAATAGGGTGACAACACATTTTAATTAAGTAATCCTTTTTATATGTTTCAGTTTTTTAACTACTGCGGCTATTATCGTACACAATAATGTTGTTAAACTGTTTAATACATAAATACATTTTTATTGTTATCATTTGTTTTAGATTCTTATGTGCTTTCGTGCCCTTATAATACATATGTGTTGTTTATTCATGAGATTGCACAATCTGGCAATATTCCTCCTTTATACCTAAACAAGTAAATGGTGTAGTGATTAGCGTGTTTGATCTGTGATTGCGGAGATTAAGCAATTATCGCACAGACCGGCAATAAGGTGGATGATCAAATTTTTTTCCGAACGATTTAGGACCACGTTGTTCCAATACGAATTACTGGGTAGATTGATTTCAGCCATTAAAATATCTATGTTTTAGCACCTTCAATCATCATTGGGACTTTAACGCGGGCCTAGTGCGGAATATAACCTAGTGAGTTGGGTGGATTGTTTTTATTCATCCATTAAGTAAAAACCGGAAGAGAGTAAAAACTCACCACATCCTGCTAAGCCAATTAAAAAAATTGATCACTCATCCCATTCTTACCCTTTAGAACCCCACTTGTACACGTGCACTAATGATGTGCCGATTCGATTAATATACACATCGATTAATCGATTATAGTATTACTCCCATATCGATTTATATGCAATGAAAAATCGATTAATCGATTCCGCTCACCATTAACGTGCACGCGATATCGTAAACGCACACATTTTACTTCATAAATAAAAATATGTATATTGAATTTAGAAAAAGTTGTTTTATATTACGGATCTCTAATAAGTCAGCCGAATTGCATCGCTCTTCATTGGTACGATGCAATTTAAATCAACGATCGAATCGGCTTCGAGCCATGAGTAAAGAGCCTAAGGATTAGGTCTCATACCTTAAAGATAAGACAAAATCTCAAAAGAGCCTAGTGCAATGTAAACAACCATAACAGAAAATTTTGATTAGATATATTAGTAAATTCCTAATTAGTATGGAATAATTTGATGTGACTTAAATAAACTATTATTCATTTATGATATATATTTATTATGTTGTATTACAAGTCACTACAGTACAAATATTCTAATAAATATTTCTTTTGAAAATCAATATTTGTTTTATGAAGTTTCTAAGGCCAACTTTACCGTTGAATTAAATTAAATTTCGTTTGTTAAAATATTTTTAAAACCTTTCACAGTGACGACTGCTTACAACTGTTATTTCAGCTTCAAGTATCAGTCCCAACTGCTAAGACATTTTTGTTGTATTTTTTCTTTTTTCGTAAAACTGTATTAATACTTTGCTATGACCACTTACACAACATCCACATATAACTAGACTTCATGGTGAACTAGATAGTTGTTAGATTAATAGTGTTGTTATTTTTACCTTAATCACGATAAACGTATTGCAATCACTATATACGAAATTCACTTGGACAAGCATAAACGTCATAATTTGAAATGTTGAAATGTATAAGAAACTATTGAATTAAAAATTTAAAAGGGACACAAATAAGTGAACAAATAGCCTTAATAATACTTAATACTATCTTATAATATTTGATTAATTTTGCATTTACAATGCTATACTGATAAATATTTTTAATGAAAAATGAAAGATGAGATTAGAAACTTATACAATCCGCGGTAGCCTGGATTGTGAAAAGTCATGGCTTCGAATTTAATTTTCAGAGTCTATATTTATTATATGTATCTTTTATATCGTGTTTTTGTAATAATTTAATTTTAATGATATAAATATACAAGTGTTACCACTAAGTTTAGTTTAGTCAAAAATTTTAATCAATGATTTTTTTTATAGTGGCAAGATGAAAGAACGCGACACGGCCTCAGTATTACTTTACACACTAAGTACACTTTAATTTTGTATAAAATATTACAAACATTATTAAGACACAAAACCTTCTTGAGAAGAAGTCTTGAGTTAGTGCCGTCGAACACCAATGTTTTAGCGAAAACAGAAGCATTAGTTACTAAATTAACTGTATGGTCTTTAAAGGAAAGGCTAAATAGATCCCTTTGCCTTTAAAAAAGAAGGAGCGAGAGCGGGAATTTTAAAAACTTTTTGCATTTTCGATTATCGGGAATAAAACGTTGATGAAATTGTATAAAAATTCAAACTGAATAGGGTTCTTTGGCATAGTGCAACAAATAATATGATGGTTAATTTTGTTTCAGATTATTTTTATGCGATCTAGAATTGGGTCAACTTATTTGGGAAAAGAAAATCAATACATCAGACAAAATAACCTGACCAAGTTAAGATGTTATTCTATTTGTTGTATTGTCCAAGAAGCGACGGATTTTGTGTTTGAGTGCGTAATTTGTTCAAGTCTGGAATTATATTAGGTCAAGGGCTTATCCAAGAAGTGCTCAGATGCAAAATAGGTTTTAAAGTTTATTATTGAAAATGTCGTTGAAGGCATACGAAGATGCTTGCACTAGGGCTGAATTATTTGGGCAACCTTTGCCTGACAAAGATGAGTTTTTGGAAAAACATAAACATTTGGATGTTGTTGAATTTGAAGAAGTCGAAATAAGGACGGCAGAGGTGAGTAATTTATAAATTTAATTGTTTAGTTACTACTTATACAACTTAACATGACACCTGAAGGCTTGTTCTATTTCTCCGAAAACGTAATTTTGACTATTTTTGAATCGTTAATGCTATTCCAAAGTTAGGACTTAAACTGTTGCTGATGCACAGATAATCTTCATGGATATGATTTTAAATTATAAGCACGATTCGAAATTTTCCGATTTTTCATTCGAGGACAAATAGAATAGGCCCCTAGGAGGTGTTAATATAATTCGTGTGAGTTATAGTCGTCTATGGCAGCTCATACCCATGTTGAATGCGCATTTTTTGTGTACGAAAATAGTTACCTTTCTGGTATTATTATTACTATAATAATAACTTAATTACTTTAAATTGAATTCTACCTAATAGTCTGCAGAGATTTCAGTTACGATTTATAAACTCATTATTGGGAAAATATGTATCATTATTATAATACGCACAGAAGAGTAAAACGTATAGAGGATAATAATTGTATCTGTCTTTACCTCGCACAGAAGAAGAGTTAAACGTATAGAGGATAATAATTGTATCTAGAATTTGGTTTGAGATCTTTACTATTTTACCCATTTAGAATTTCAAGTGTGATAAGCATGACTCTAAGCGTTAGTCGTAAAATTTATTACAAAGAAATAGTTTATGTAAGTTTAAACTCCTTAAAGTTAAAGTTATATTTAGCCCAAGTGTCGCTACGATCCTGTAGGTAGTTGGTTTTATTTACACGATATGCGGGACAGGACTAATATAATGAATTCCATATTAAATATAATACGAAATCATTTTCATAGACGCAAATTTTTATTTATACTAATATTATAAAGAGGAAAGATTTGATAGTTTGTTTGCTTCGAATAGGCTCCGAAACTATAAAAGGGATTGATTTTAAAAATTCTTTCCCCAATGGGAAGCTACATCATAGGCGGATATAGGATATTATTTGTGAGTTATTCATGATTTTAAACAACATTCGCGCGCCATGGTGTGACACGAGCTTAATTAAATTTCCAGTTAAAGGGTTTTTTTTTTAATTTTTAGAATACTGCTATGCTAGACGAACATATGACGGGAGCTGGTAGTGGTTTGCAAGAGTTGAACACTATTTTAAATTCAACACAAACGAAAATTAATAAATTAAAGGTAAGTTTTATTTTATGACCTTGGTCTTTAGTCTTTTGGAGTGCACTTAATATATTATAAATTAATATAATTATACATTAAATAGACTCTAGCAAAAATTGATTTTTGCAGGAAACAAATGGAACAAAGATAGTCATTTCCGTTCCTTTTAACTAACATATTAAAAAACTAAAAATTTGAAACGTTCGAAACTTAGATATCAATACAAATACGAAAAAGTACAAAAAGAATATGAGTTGTTTAATGAGTTTTGAAAACTAATTTACTTTTCAATGCAGTTGCTCATAAAGCGCTATTTTTTAATCCATTGTAAACACCGAAAGTGAGTCTTTAAACACGTGTTAAATAAAAATGTACTGAAATACTTTACTGCACACGTGCTTAAAAGTATTTTTTTATTTTTTTTGGCCGAGCACCAAACAAATTAAAAAAAAATAAATTGATGAAAATATGTCAAACTTTAGAGGCTAGAACGAATATTTTCAAATAAAAATGTATGACACGAAAACGTGTTCAAATATCACATTTAATTTTAACAAATAATTTTTACCTTTAAAACATACTTTTATAACCTATATATTTGTTTTATTTTCTCGCAAAAAGCAATGAAAAATGTTGTAAGAAACTTGAGCGTAAAAGGTAAAACCTTACTTTCCGCACTCGTATCTTAAATAACTTTTTATACATGAAAGAAAACCGGAAGGGTTGTCATGGGGAAATCAAGAAAGTACCGTAGCGACATCTAAAGACATCGTACAATTAAAACATAGTGTCATTGTAAATGTTTCTATTTACAGGGCGTTTGTGGAAGTCTTACTAACTTCTTCCGTGTGAAGCTTACAGCACGTGACAACCTCTCCTACTCAAGTGAACAAAGTTACGTAGGTCAAACTAACTATGATAAAGACTTTGTTGTACAATCCAGCGAAGACATAGCATCCATAAATCAGGGGTTAGGACCGAACGACAACGAAATGACACCACGACAAGATGGTGGCAAACAAGATGGCGGCGATATGAGCACAACATTAAAAGAACTGGAAGAGATGCAGAATAATGAGAATACTTCATTGATTAACAAAGCGGCTTTGAAAGATGTTGGTAAACAAGTAACTTCACAGGTTAGTAAATTAGATCAGTTACTGAAACAGGCAGAAAACGCTGAGATGTCATTGAGTAGTCAAAATAAGCAAATGAGGTCTTTTCTGCGATAATTCAACCTTCTTCAATATAATGTTCTAATTGTTAGTTTTGTGAAGTGCTGATTTGGCTTTTTATGAAATTGGGCATGTGAAATTGAGTCTAAAGTACGATATCCATTAACCAGACAAGCGACGTAGGATATTCGTGTCGCGGCCATTTCCACTCGCGGTATTGCCTCGATTTACGACTACGATTTGTAATGATGGTGGAAGGGGATGTGTTGTGAATATCGTACTTGAGGAGTATTGAATGCGTTTCTTTGTAAAGAACGTCAAGTTATTAGAGATGTGCCGAGTAGAAGTTTTGCCGCTGCAAACTGCAACTTGAATTAAGAAGAGATATTAGGGCACAAAAACTGTTGAGAATACCGGTGTCATATGGATTTGAAAATTACGGGTGATAGATATTTATTTAGATATACTTATATTAAAAATTGCTGAGTATGTCAAATACAAAATAACAAGCGCGTAGTTACTCGACCTACCTCTAATCTCTTGTATGTGTGTTGTGTGGCAATTATATTTACTCCACGACGACGTGTAGTGTCACTGGCGGGTTGGTACTCGGTTTCATACATTTGGTTTGGTCATAATGTAACCCAGTCCCACAAAAAAATAAAAATCGATCCCCAGTTGCGGGAAAGGGCGAGCTAAATATAATTGCAGCTTTAAAGATATTCGCTGAAACAAGGGCTGTGTTATTTGATTTTCTTAGTTCGGAATATAATATATTCTTACTGTATCGGCATACGTTAATAGGAATGATGACTAATTTTTGTTTGTTTGTCCGTCAGGTAGAGTGTTAAAAAATAATAAACACGTATTTTTTTATTTTTTCCGTAATCATAAAATTACGGCGTTACATGGATTTGAAATTTCGCATGACGTCACGTTAGGGTACGTTTTCTATTCAACTGTGACGTAGCGAGCCCCCACTCCTCAACTTTAATGCCTATTATCTAAGCTATTTCTTGTTAAATTGAAGTAAAAAAAAATACGTATCTAATACTTTTCTATTATCTGACTGACGGACTAAATAGAATTGCTTTTTTTTTTACCTCGTCGTCATCCCTATTATAATGATGAATAAGATGTAATTAATGTAAATCTACAGTCAGCAGAGCGTCAAGTTATGAAAATTGACAAATTTCATAATCCATATGTTAGTAAGACCGCACGACATGCAACAGATTATATTAAACATTCCTATTACGTCACCAGCATAATTCCGACGTCAACACTGACTGACACATTTTTCGCAACGCGTTTGCGTGTCGTGCGGCCGGTGTGTGCGAGCTGAGGCAGTGGACGAGAACCATTAGAATTTAAAATCAATAGTGGACAATTGTGGTAACCTGGCATGTTGCTGTGTGTACCTATCCAAATATAATTAAAATCGCTTCCGTAGAACGCTTATATTCGTATCATAATGATATTATCTGTGCTAAGTTTAATAATAAAATATTTGTGCTATGATCCCATGTAAAGGGCCGATATTCAACGGGCTTCCTAGCTTGGAGTATTTATGCTCGTTTGCTCAAATACACCTAGATACTTATAAAACGTACAAAATTAAGAGTATGTAATAGGTATTAATCCAACAACATTTATATTTTTTATCCAGTCAATGAAGGCAAATACTGTAAAACTGTAAAAAAGCATGGGTTTGTATAAAATAGTTCTATTTACACTATTATTCTATATTGAGTATGTGCCGGAGCGTTTATTTTACCCTATTAGGGGGCGTCCATAAATTACGTGAGATGTTTAAGGGGGGGAGGGGGTCGAGGCCAATCTCATCTAATCTTACGTTGGAGAGAGGGGGGGGTCTCGGCAAATATCACGCAATTTTTTTTCTGATTGAAACAAAAAAAAATACTATTTTGGTCCATTTAATCTAGATTGTACATGCTTAAGATTTAATCTTAAGAGTAATCGTATACGATTAAGATCATTCACTAATTCGTTCGAAAGAAAATAATTTCATTCATACTGCGACGCTATACATCTACTTTCGATACCGAGTAGGTATCGATACTTTCAAAAGCGATACTCGATACTGAGTACTCGATACTACAACAAGGCAAATACTCGCAAGTACTCATCAAATTGCATTTTGAAAAATCTCACGTGAGATTGGGGGATGGGGGAGGGGGTTGAATAAAATCTCACGACATCTCACCAGAGGGGGAGGGAGGGACAGAAAATTTAAAAAAACACCTCACGTAATTTATGGACGCCCCCTTATAATTAATTAAAAATCTTATTGAATAATAATTCAAAAAAGTCAATCTGTCTGTCGTAGAATAGGGTATTTGACACTTATCTGAAAACTATTTTAAATGGTTGTTTGATACAGTATAAACACACTGTCAATACATTTTATGGGAATCTGTTAAAATTTTGATGAAAATAATTGTTAAAGATTAAATAGCAATCGCGCAAAACATACTGCTATATGTAATGGCGCTGACGGCGTGGTATTTCTGACGTCACAAGGCGGTAAATATGTCGGGGCGACAGAACTTATTCAACGACTATTTATTTACGAAGTAAATAAAATGTATTACAAAAGAAAAACTGAAGTTGAATTTTACATTTTGTCTGTATCTACTCTGGTTTTGTTTATAAAAATGAGCTACAAATTGTATGTATAAATTTTCTATAAATACAAATTTAGCTTTCTAATTACGTGTGACGTTACACGCCCGGTAAACAGAACCTGTTATTATATATGTTGCATTTTCTTTACGTTATTTTACTAAAGCTTAACATATTTTGTCTGCAGATTGTAAGAAATAAACTTTATTATATTATTATCTAACAGGATGACCTCAATACGCAACTTATTTTTAATATTATCAAATATCATATTACGATTAAGACGGGATTTTGATCAAAATTATAGGATTTTAATTAAGATTCGGAGGATGATCAAATTCATTTTCGTAATCCTGGAAAATCCAGTATTTTGATCGAAACCCTTAACTTGTTTAGGATTATGATGAAGTCCGCAACGCGATTGAATTTATAATTCGATTATTTGATCAAAATCTTGTCCTTATCGTAATGCTGTGACATAGGTATTATTATCTATTAGCAGATATATGTTCAAATACATATTTAAAATGAATACATAATAGTGTGAGTAGAGCAGACAAATAAACGATACAAAACATTATCTATAGAATTCTGTATTGTTTCAAACTGACACTGACTATTATTGTACGGAGTGGGGTCAGCGATCTGTACCATCTCATACAACAAAACACAGTACTTCGCGGTAACCATACAGTTCTATAGATAGCGATACATATCGGTTAATTTCAACGCTCACATAACATCGAAGTAAATAACTTGGTCTGATTAGCTGACTTAATTTTTTGAATAACCTGAATTGTATCAAAGTTTTTTAAATATCGTAGCTTTAAAATCAATTCAATTATATATTACATACCTAAAATATTTTTTTATTATTATGGTGACAAATAAGATTATGTTACTTATCTTTGAAGGGTCATTAAAAGTAATGCACAATCAACAGCACGTCAGGTTCTACAAATCTGTCAGATTTTTTATCTCGATTTTAAATCTTAATGTATTGAGTGTAGATTTGAACGTTAACTGCGAAAATTTGAACAGAATTTGGTAGTGACCTGACGTTATGTTGTGTGTACTAGTACTCACGAACTACTTACAGCTATATCTACTTTTAGTTTTAACTTTATTTAATCTATTAAGTATAAACATCCAAAGAGAATCTTGAAAGCAATAAAGTATGGAATAGAATATATTAAATTCGAGAAGATAGTTTTGTACAACCCAATTTGCAGTTTGGTTAAACTTGGTTAAAATGGGTTAAACTTTAATAACTTGTGATCATTAATAATAACAATAACATATACTTAATAACATAAGAACTATCTTGGGCTTGTAAAAGCAAAAGCCTTTGCAAAGGGCTTTTCGATAGCAATCTATATGTGACAATATGAATTTTATACTTATGCTTAGATTTTTCTCCAAATAAGCAAGGAAAAAATACTTATTTAATGATTTAAATGGATGGAGCAAGGAAAAATACTTATTTAATAATTTAGATAGACTTTTAATGAAGAGGGAGTTAAATGTGTTTTATTAGAATTCGTCGTCCCCACGTTGGGTACGTGGGGACGCTACGCCGTCTTACTAACGCCGTTTCAATATATTTTCTATATTTTAGCTGTTGTATTTGCTACCTGAAATTTTAAATTATTATTATGATATTTTTTTATAAGTCAATGGTGACGAATTAAAACTTAACTGTATAAGTTTATGCAATGCTATTACAATAAATAGGAGTTTATTGTATATCTGAAAAAATCATTCAGATGACATAATTTAGCTATAGTTATGAGAATTTTGGCTCTGGACAGAAAGAAATTTCTTTTTGTAATACTTACTTCTCGTCCTTCTGAATTTCTTACTGTAATACTTCTTGTTCTTCTGAATGAAGGTGGTCATCGATGTGACATTGTGATACTTATTTGAACGTTGGTGTTAAACAATAACTTAAAATTATATTTTATAATATATAATAAATATGATAAACATTGTATTTAGCAATATCATTAACGAAATAAAGCTGTGATTTCTTATAGCAGTTTTTTATTGCAATTATCAGTTTTTTGCGATCTCTGTGACAGAGTGTTTCACACGCTAGTTTCAGCAATCTGTAATCTATACTACGATTATTATAAAGAGGAAATATGTTTTTGTTTGTTTTTTTTTTGCATGTATAAGGCTGAGGAGCCATCGGACCAATTATGAAAAAAAAAATACAAATGAAAACTAAACCACACGCGGGTTATGTCACGCGGAATCGCGAAAAGTTTAACTTTTCAACGTAACAGTTGTTATTATATTTCCGCTATGATTGTTTAGAAACAAATTGTTTTAAATATTATCAATTGGTGTAACACTTATTTGGATTAGACACTACACAAAGCATAACAATCTTCCTGATCCATTCATTGCATTTAAAACATTTATTTAACATTGAAGTCACGCTAGAAACCAGGGCCGCAGAAAAAACGAGCAGTTGGACCGTAAAATCACGTCCTATAAGAATCTGATTAATGTACCATGACCCGCCAATAGCTTCGCACTCGAACTGCAGCAATGTTCTTCGTTTTGTTACTTTGTCAATTCGCGTTGACGGCTGCTAATCCATTCCACAAGTATCCATATGTGTTTCTTCTCGACATCGGCAATGAGGAGTTAGAGAAGACTAACACAGAACAAATAAGACTCTCCTTACCAGGTGGATCTTTAGCTTTGAGATATCCGGCTATTGGCAACGGAGACACGATAGCCCATGTTAGAGTGAGCGGCATAGATTTTGGTACGGATCTCAAAGCTAATATAGTGGACGGTGGGCCTGGTTACAAATACGTTGTTGTCGTATTCATGGGTAACCCAGGCGTGCCCTATGATGCAGTGGTAACTATCCAGACGGTATCCGATAGTGATGTCGCTAACATAAATCAGAGTAACACAAATAATTTGAGCAATTCAATTGTTAATGATTCCAAAGACAATAACGATAGCGCTGAGGTTACAGATGATGATGAGATGAATAAAAAAAACGTCAACACATATTCTATTGATGCTAATGATAGTTCCGAGGACACCAGTGATGATACAGAAAGTCAAAATGCCGAAAATGGTAATACAGAAATAAGTCAGGGTAGTTCAAATATTTACAGCTATGCAAAAAACGATGCCGAAGAGATGGAAGACGACAACAACGATGTAGGTAATGAAAATGATAGTGAAAGTGACAATTTGGGAAACGATAAAGATATTCACAGGCAGTACAGTGAAGCACGTCAAGAAGTAGAGGTAAAGGATTACCAAAAATATAGCGATATGAATTATGAATACAATAGTAATGAAGACACACCAGAACAGAGTGTTTCAAGTGTTTATACTAATGAAGAGAATGATGATAAGCCTGCAAGACTGATAGACAATAATATTTATTCAAGTTATTCAATGCTAAGGCCTGCTTTGTTCGGATTAAGGTTTTACCCACAAAATGCGGTGCCTTTTATGGTACGCGAAAACGGTGGGTCTGTTTATAATTCAGAAGAATTTGATGCGATGATTAACGACGATGATGATCATAATGAACCTGAAAAATTAAGGGATTCAAATAACAATTTATTGCATTCAGATGATAACTCTGCTGTTATGTCGTAAGATTTGCTTTGATATATTAGTCAATATTTTTCTAATAAACAAATAATACGAGTCAGTTATTTAAGGGAAACTGTTGGTTAAAATAATTGAATAGTTAACTAAAATAAATATAATAATAAATAAATGTACTTCTGTAAAAGTTTCTGTGTAAGCTCATTATTTTCATTTACACAAGTTTAAAATTTATAAAAAAATATATAAATATAATGTTGTTTATGTAACTGTTGAGTGAATCATTATAATTTTGAAGTGTAACATCGCGTGAGTAAAAGTAAGATGAATTTTGTGCCTACACATAATTTTATAGCAATATTGCGGATGAAATTTGCTTACGCATTCCCGTAGGCGTACACGAGTCAGATTCGAAACGAAAATGGCAAAATAAAGTCATTACGATTTGACCAGTTTTAGTGACGATCACTTGACTTTTCTATAATAAGCAATGGAATGTATACTTTGTCAGAAGTTATTATAGTCGGATTTTGTGAAGAAAGATTGGTGAGCTCTTATTTCAACAGTTAGGATGTCTCCTATTATCTCACCGGGAGGGAAATCTGCGGTGTCTTGTTTGAACTCGATTATGATAATCAATGTTATTTTTTGACATACACATGGTCTAATTTCGTCCATTTATTTCTTATACACGTGCCATGTTCGCTACTCATGTCATATGAACGTACGATAAAATGCGTCAGATTACAGAATCAGTTTTAGTCTCAAAGAGTTGAGATTAAAGCTTAAAATATATTGCGGATAATGTGGTTCAAACAAAAAAACTTGAAGGCAAATTAACACTTTTCGCAAGTATTAATGTGTCTTCAAGTTGAAGCTCTCGTATGCACAGAGTGACGTAGTGACTCGGTGTAAGCCATTTTAAAACCGTCCCAATTCTTTGAAGCAGTCCGCCTGTAGGGAAATTCTGCTATGTTATCCTAATTATGGAAATAATACCGCTTCAAATACAACCTTTTATGACCACAGAGCTTGTAATGAGATCTCAAATTGATAACTATATTTGTCACCGTTTAATGTCACATTAATTTATTTTTCTTAGTAGATTAAAGGAAGCATATGCCTTAAATATAAATACCAGTCGACGCTAATTATTGACGCTTAAAAATGTTTAGGTGAATTATGAATTACCTATGAGATTAGGTAAATGTTTGAAATCTACTATTAGATATAAATCATGAAAGATTAAATATTTTTGTCGACGCTACGGATGGTCAGCAATTTTCAGAAGGACCGGTCATAGGATGGGTAACCAAAATTTTACTGCTACCTCAAGGTCTTTCGTGCTTCGGAGGGCACGTTAAGTCATTACTTTTTTCCGTTAAAAAGTCAGAGTGACTCATCACTATCGGTAACAGATTTCAACTACGCGTTTATTCCTTCCGATAAATCAAGAAAACTGAAAACAACTAGAAACACAATCATATTTTGGAAATAAAATCCTAATTTGACTTTACACCGTATTTCCACAATTTTCTTAATTTTATCTTTAAATGGTATTAGCCTCATGGCTATTTGGCCATAAATGACCTCGACAATTCTTTTCTTTGTATGTTTTTCAAGATTTTTTAATGAAAAGTTTAAATTATACTATTTCATTGAGATATATTTCGCACGTTGAGAATGACAATGTCACTAACCAAAAACGACGTATTTTTTAGTTTTGGCAACATTTTTCTTTATTAAGTTAATAAACTTTAAAATGCAAAGATCCCTGTGAACGTAGCTTGCATAGAAACTGCTAGGTGGCGTAGTGACGATACGTTGTTTAGAGGGGCTGCTTACAATTTCTTGAACTTTAAACGCTCATTACTCAAAATCATATTTTTTGCATTGTGTCACTATCGTTCTCAACGTGCGATTTGTCTAGAATACTTCTTTGATAGATATACGAGTATTTGTGTAGAATACATTTTGATGCCGTTTTGTGTTTAAAAATACGTATCAAGATTAATTAAATTCATACCAATGATATTAATATGTCTAGATACGCAATACATACCAAAAATCTGAAGCTACTAAAACTAAGACGTTTGTCTTAGTTTTTTCGTTTTGCACTTCATTACTCATTCAACTCCCGCCAAGAAAGTACAAAAAAAATGCTCCGTAAAAACAAAGAAAAACAGTAGATAAAATTCGATTCTCTTTCACAAATACACATAATACGAAAGAATATTAAGTTTCACACTTAAATCATTAACATTTTTGGCAATAAATACAAAATTAAAGCTAGGTTATAAAATAAAAATATTTAATTTTTTCAAATAAAATTTCGACATTTTGTCGTCAGTGTTGCCACTGCTATTCACTTTCAATTTTCCCAAGTATATGGGAACCTTTTCTTTTTAATTAACGTGGCTATAATTTATCTAAATATCTTTTTATAATTAATTATATAGCTCAGCTTAAGTATAGGCAACTGCGCAAATTTTTTTATTCATGCACACAGATGCTAATGTGGTTTAATTTTTTCAATGCGTGGAATAATTCGTTAGTTGTCGAGATACAACTTTTGAAAATACGTAAAATAGTTTGTTTGATGTTTTATGAACTTTGACAAATGTTTTTGTCTTAACCACTAACTTTATCGAAAAACAAAGGGATATATATGCACAGAGCCTACTTTCGTAATTGTTTTTTTTTTCAAAGTTTTTGCAAACAAATTTTCAAAGTTACAGTATTTTACTAATTGATTTTATACATAAATCTACACTACTCGTTCATTCATTCATTCATCACAATGGGTGAAATTTTCGACAGCTGGCAATACAATATCAATTACCCATTTTTCCGTTCATTCTGTCGTTCGCGCATATTCTGTCTTTGTTTAATTTAAAGTTTAATCGTAGATATGAGGGAGATAAATATAATAAATCTATTTATATTATATAGTATAAATATTATTTGCAAAGCTACGTCCTGATTTCGGAAAAGTGCTACGCTTTTTGGCGCGTCTGTTGTATGGGATTGCTTCTCTAGTTATTAAACAGATCTAGTTAGAAGGAACATGTTCGTCGATTTATATGGAGACCGAGCGTGCCCCATTTTATGTAGGTATCATGACGTCACGAACTTAATTTAGTGATGGAAAACATAATTTCTCTTCAATCGAATACATGTTGTATTTGAAACAGCATACCAATTCTTATCGATTTAAAAACCGATATCGAACGACGGAGACCAATGTGTAACATTTTGCTTAAATATTATGTATATGTCACGAATGTAATTTAGTAAAACTGCACAAAATAGTACGTGCGGTGGCGTGACGGAGTCAGCGTAGTTGACGATCAAAATATCGGACCTTTGTCTTCATTGTGAATAGAAATAAGTATATTCCTCTGTCTAACATTATTCGTGTGACCAAATCATTTTACTTATACCGCATACCTAATATCATATTTTTATCAGTAAGAACCGACAGCTAAAATGATAATTAGTTTTGACAGACAAAATGATAATACTAACGTATCGATAGAAAAAAAATGAGAAAGTCACAGACTTCAATTTAGAATTCAATATAAGTCGATTAATTGAGATCGAGATTGCGTCAATGACTACAAAACTAAATGGATCAATAATTTATTGTCACAATAATACAGTATCACATACTTTATATCAATATATGTTCAATACAAAAATACTCTGAATTTTATGATAATACTTACCATTTCACACTTTCTCTTCCTGAGCTTACTGTACATATTATTTGATTCCTTATCTGAACAAGATGGGTCTATCTGCGGCACAAATTGTATTACATTCATTAATTATATAAAACAAAATATTATAAAACAAAGTAACTATTTCATTTTCTATTTGCAGTAAAGTCAAAAACTACTAGTTTTCACCAATAGATAGAATGATGCCATGTATAATTTGCCTAAGCAAAATAATGTGTGCTGAGGCCACTATTAATATCCACTGTAATACAAAATATCACATTTGAAATCCTAACAGTAAACACCGTTTAGCTACTACTAAGCTAAACGGTGTGATTGTTCATTTAACTTCTTCTTTTATTTAATTCCCTCGCACAACTGTGTTTGAATCTGTAACTAACAAAGATGTGCAAAAGAAATATTACACTGTCACTAAATATATTTCTGTGATACTATCCTATCTATTTATGTCACCTGATTTATCCATTAGATTCGGAAAATTACGGCTGTGACATACGGACGAACAGGCAGACTCATGTTCGATAGGATCGCTGGTAGATTACACTTTTTGTATGAAATAATGTAAAAAATCTTAAGGTATACTTTACCTTTTTTTCAGTTGTCATTATCACAACATCAATAGTCGGATATGCTGTTTTTATTACTCGTCGGTACTTTGATGGACCAGTAAAGGTATCTTCATAGAAATGAATTGAACAAATCCGACTGTTTTTTGTAGGATACCAATTTTTACGTCCTGTTGCTTCAATCCATTTTTTTTAATATATGGATCATTCGGAAAACTTAAAAAAAAATACAGTACAAATATTCAATATAAAAAATAAATTATCATTTCTTCTGCTTAAAAAACGATTTTTTTTAATCGGTTAAACAACATCGCATTGTACAGCACTATTCGCCATTTTTGTCAGAATTTGACCTTCAACAATTTGTCCTTGAATTATAGATCGATGGTTTTACAAGCACGGCAAATTTGGTTCGTCAAATTAAAGCCGTAATGGAAAGCTATTACTGGACACGTGATCGTTTTGACGAAAATAATACGGAGCAAGAAAACAAATGATTTTTAATGCTTAATGGATATATCAAAACAAATAATTACTTACCGATGGAAGGAAATACCTCGATTATAAGATCCAACTATACTGGTGGTGTTTGAGCAGTTAATTATTGAACAACGCGTCATTTTAAATTTCACACCTAACGTTGAACTCGGATTACAATCGAAAGTAGACTGAGCCTCGCGGCGAGCAACGAAGCTGTCTAGACGTCGTTTCGGCACGCGAAGTACGTACACTTTTTCCT